ATTATTATGAAAGGACCCAAAGGCAATGTGCCTATAGAGGGGTTCATTTGAAAGAACAGTAGATGTAGATGTATATACAAAGACAAGTAGGAATTGATGAGGAGAGAAATGGGGAAAATCAACTGCAAGGTGGCGGAATTCTGTTGATTGCATAAGCATGGTCAGCTGTAAATTTCCTGAGGGCAGCTTTGAACTTGTAGAGCGAGGCTTCCGATGTTAGACTGGGGGGGGGGGGGGGGGTAAACAGTTCCATAGAATAGCAGTTCGGAACATGAAGAGAGACTTAGACAATGATTTAAATTTGGGAAGAATGATTTTATTTGGTCGTGGCTCACTATTCGTAATCTTGAAATGGAAATCAGCAAGGTAATTATAATTGAATAATCGATCGTTATGATAAAGAGTAATCGATTGGGCTAAATGGATGATAGTTTCAGCCTGTTAGATATTGTACCTCAACGGAGGGAGTGTTAGATATTTGCATGCGTCTTCACACACGTCTCTGATTGGACAGCTGCACTTTCGATGCATTTCTAGTATTCATTGCTACTGTGTGTTACCGTCGGACAACACTACGATTTATTGTTACATGTACGTTCTATGTCAAGTCAACCCTGTTCCCATTCGTTTCAGTCTAGTTCTATACTTACTGCCATGACTTGTCCCGTTTATGGTTATACAGTCTTCTTCTTTTCCTGTCGTATTGCTTTCGTTTACCGGAGACTTCTACGGTATGTCTCTATTCGCCTCCACGATGTCCTTATCCTGACACTAGCATTTTCTGCGTCGCGTACGGCTGGTGGGAATATCTACCCCAGCCGTCGTGATGTAGGCGCTTCCTCATCATTACTACTTGGAGGACAGTCACGAGTTTGAGTATCTCTGATAATGATTCTTACTGAAGTATGAGGAGAATTGTTGCCGAGTGGAAAGACACTGAGTGTCAACACTGAGTGTAATAACTAAATGAGCTCAACGAAGAGCCAAAACGTCCTTTAGGATTCTACTACTACAAGTACGGGCAGAACCAGAGTAGGATCTCTAAAATTGGTCCTTCGAGCCGGATTCAATGGATGCGAGGTCGAGAAAGGCTGACCAGAGTGTCGCCTTCGCCAAAGCAAGAATCGCGGTTCTGAACGATATCGAAAATGGATCACCTGTAAGTGCTGTCAAACTGTCACTCGTGGAGCTGGACCTAAAAGTACATTGCTTGCTTAGTACATTGCGGGAGGATCCAGAGTTGTTCGAGGAGTATGTAGCAACACAAGAAATGTATGCAAACACAGTGGCTATGGTTAGTGAGTACATGTACGGAATTTGTTCAAACTACAACAGTTCACGTGCGAGCTCTATAAGCGGTGTACAGTACACCCGGAATGCCGATAAGGTGAAAGCATACTTAGCGAGTCTAGATAAGGACACGGATCACGCACCAGGAGCTGCAGGCCTTGTCCTGAGCGGCCATATGCAGCAAACAGACAGCACGAGTCGTGCACAGGCAGACGTAGACGCACAGGTTCCCGAAACGGGCGAGAGTGCGCCGTTATGCGAACCCGCTGGTGATCAGACGGCTTTACAAGGCTATGGTCATCATCAAAAGGCAGATACGAAGGATCGGCAAGAGTATCCAAACGACGTAGAAGGTGCAACTGCAAATAGTGATACAACGTGGGCGAACGCTTTCGTGCCAGACATTACTACGCCAGTGATTGTTCCAGAAAGCACCGAGTATATGATTGAGAATGCACAGCAGTTCAACACTGGGACAGCACCATTGGCCCACACCAACAACTCCATGGACACATTGTGGCAACCTGGCAAACAGACCCCAGAGACTGCATCGCAACCTGTGTCTAGGATGCAATCACAGCGCACACGCATGCAGTACACACACACACAGCCTTTGTATGTGTCGCAGTCTTTGTCGCAGCCCTTGCCTTCATGTATGTCACAACCGTTGTCTGCGTATCAGTACTTGTCGCTGCCTGTGTCGCAGCAGTCGCTGCCCGTGTCGCTGCAGTCGTTGCCGCCGTTGTCTGCGTCTCAGTCTTTGCCGTTGCCTGTGTCGCAGCAGTCGCTGCCCGTGTCGCAGCAGTCGCTGCCTGTATCGCAGCAGTCGCTGCCCGTGTCGCAGCAGACGCTGCCCGTGTTGCAGCAGTCGCTGCCTGTATCGCAGCAGTCGCTGCCCGTGTCGCAGCAGTCGTTGCCGCCGTTGTATGCAGATCAGTCTCTGCCGTTGCCTGTGTCGCAGCAGTCGCTGCCCGTGTTGCAGCAGTCGCTGCCTGTAGCGCAGCAGTCGCTGCCCGTGTCGCAGCAGTCGCTGCCTGTATCGCAGCAGTCGCTGCCCGTGTCGCAGCAGACGCTGCCCGTGTTGCAGCAGTCGCTGCCTGTATCGCAGCAGTCGCTGCCCGTGTCGCAGCAGTCGTTGCCGCCGTTGTATGCAGATCAGTCTCTGCCGTTGCCTGTGTCGCAGCAGTCGCTGCCCGTGTTGCAGCAGTCG